AAACTGTCCTGGTGTGTATTCTGAAATTCATTCAAAAGAAATTCATGCGCGGAAATCATCGCCTTCAACGATCCCATTAACTACAAAACCAACAAAACTGGCAGAGTTGTGAATAGGCAGTTGAGAACGATCTGCGGACAACGAGAGCTGAGAATCGACAGTGAGGTTTTTCAAAAGCTTATTTCTGCAGACAGTGTGCGCAAAAAAGTTGCAAAATTTCGTAACTTCATCTGCAAACAATATAAAATGAGTAATCTGTTGAGCTCGTGGACAGATTCATCTAATTAATACATAGAGTGTAAATAAAAACTCGGTATGGAGTTAAGCTCAGGAAGAAAATCCTCCGCAAAATTATACATTGACTGCGCGCGTCAGCTTTAAGCTCTATTGCTGTAAGTTGAAGCAAGAAGCACAGGAAGAGGCATGGTTTGTGCAAGCATTTTATGGCAGATCTCAAACAAAATGTTTCAGTGCGATGTGTGAGCAGTGTTGCTCGACTAGCTATGAGAAGCTTGGTAAGCCTAAAACAAAAGGAGCCGGCGGCTGTTAATGGTGTCGAAAGGGACGCGAGGACGAGGCAGCGGCTAATCGAAACATCTGACACAATTTGCTCAGCACTGAATCAACTATCAAACTGGCTTACCAGTGAACAACCAAACCCACTGAGAAATATGAGGGGAAGAGATTTTGTGCGGGCGCATAAAGCAGAAAAAGCAATTTAAACTTGTCGCGAACAGAAATTATGATTTTTGCCCTCCAGTTTCAGTTTTTGTGCTCCAATACGGCCCGAAGCCGCCTTCATGCGAGCCCTGGAAAGCGCCAAAAGAGTCTTGCAATTTTTATATTTCCGCATTTCCATCGGTTAGGCAAAAAAAGAAATATGGGTTTACCTGTAAGTTTTCGATAAACAATAAAAGATGCTTCTTCCAGTCATTTGCAGACGGCGAGTGCAGCGCTAAACGCAAGGCAGAGGGGATGCTGGAATCATGTGGCGCCGCGGCCAATCGTATGAACAGTCCCATCTCGCGCTCCCCAATCAAATTTATCATTGTACTGCAACAAATGAAATTGCATTTTGAATGGCAAGCAGCTCTGCCTCCGCAGCATGCAAGGACAATTCACAGCTCGCTGGCACTTCACATCTCTGTTTTTCATTCCACTCCCGCACAACGAACTGCTAAGGCCATCCGGGCTTGTTCTGCACAGAACACTCCACTTTGCTGGGCGTTGCTGCGTTCCCACTTCCTGGCTGCTGCCGATGAGCCAGTACTGCTCTGCGAGCTTATCTAAAGCAGCTATGCTGCCTTTTTTGATGTGCAGCTGCTCCGCGTCCCGTCACTATCAACTGCTACCGCAGCAAAATCTCCGGCTGTGAATGAAACGACCGGGCGTGCTAAATGCGGGAGGAGCCTACAATTTTGGATTGCTGCGTGGCAGATTTGCGCCTTCGACCATATTCCTGATAACGGACGGTGTGCGATAGGTGTAACGAAGTGCTATGCTGTCGCCCTCGGAATCAATTCGACAAAAGTACAGCAACAGCGGATCTTCGCACGATGAGACCCAGAGCGTGTAAATGACATGTCGACTCTCGCCGTTCACCTGCAAAAAGAGCCCCAGATATGCCGCTGAAACAACAAGCAACTCGTAGTTACAGTGACTGCCCAAATGCAAATCGCAGCCCCCGCGCGGCACTGTCACTGCGTCCCGAGGCACAAAATTCATTTGAACAATAAACCGAGCGCTTTACAGCTCGAGCAGTATGCAACTAGCGGGCGGGAGGGGAGATGCAGTTGCTGATATCGCTTTCTGTCTCATTCGGCCCAATTTCAGCCATCTTCCACACTTTTTTTTGGCACTTTTCGACACTGCTGTAGGCATAACCGCGGCGCAGATAACAGAGAGAGAGAGAGAGAACAGTGTGACTCACTGACCAAGGCGGTCGTCTCGCGGTCCGCATCGGCGAACGACGTTTCGAAGCGAAATTTGCACTTCAAATCCCTGAAAGCAAAACAGTGGATTTCGAGCAACAAAAGCATGCAACAGTTGCGTGCCAGCTGGCTGATGATGATGATGATCCACCCCTCCCCCGGCCACACTGAACGGGGCCATGCACGCGTTGCACGGGATGGAGGTGCGCGACCGGTGAGATGTACAGGTGACTGAGCACTCATGCATCTTCTCTTCTGTAACATCAACCTCATTTAAAAAAAAATAAATGGCAACGCGCACCAGACCAGCCGGTGCGATCATGCGTTTTGTGCAATTCAACCCATCGAACGATTGCCTGTTAATGATTTTCACTGCTTTGTACTTTAGTCTATGCGAAAATAGTTCAAACACTGGAAAACAGTTAAAAATTTCACGCACCAGCGTATAAAAGCTAAATTCGAAACCTTGAAGCATGAATATCTTTTCGTGATTACCGAGTTAATAGTTTACCCGGCCAAAATTTTCAT